ATTTCATATGAATAATTATAACTTACAACGAAGAATATATTTCCAATTTTACCCCCTTATAATATACGTGCTTTGTGAAACTGCATTAAATTCTTATGTATACTCACATTGTGTATGATTTCTTGTGAGGGGAGGATCCACTTACCACCGATTAAATTTGTTATTTGTTATCACAAAATCTTAATCGTTAATTTTCATCAATATGACAGTTATAATTGATTAGATGATACTGATTAATTAATTATTAATTTTTAATAAATTATAATCGAAATCAACAATTAAAATTTGATAGTAAAAAATAACAAACTTAATTGGTAATAAGTATATCAGGTACTTTCTTTTGATCAATACTTTTGTGCTGTAGTTTATTTAGCATGAGTGATTGAACTTCCTCTGCAGCACTGGTGTTTCCCATCCCAACATGTCGCGGGTAAGCAAAGAATGGTGGTATAGAGGAACCGTGGGCGCTGCCATTACCCTGCCTCGGTTCCATCTAATATAAAATTCATCTGCATCCACAAACCTAATTTACTTCTGTTCTGGATACTCATTTAGGCCTAGTATGATTGGGTCTCATATTACTAAGTCTACAATCTAGAATTTTTTAGAGGACACTCATGGTAAGTTATCCTTGTACTGTTGCCTCATGTACACTGACAGTGAGCAGCTTGATAAGACAACTCAGGGGCTGATCAATGGTCTCCCCCATGCTAGAGAGGACTTCCTCTCTAAATATCTCTCTCACATATGGAGAGGGGATCTTCTTCCCCACTCCTCTCCTATTACGCAGAGCTCTCACGCACACTTTCCCTTGATGCACATATATGGAAAGCTTCATTAGTACTTTGGTCTCTATCACTACCACTATGGATACCCCTATATCAACATACTTCACCCTCGTGGACACATTTTATGTACTACCATCAATACAACTTCCAACATCAATAATTATTATGCTAGCAATATATAATAAATATCCCATAAATTTGGCATTTATCATTACCATTTAAATATAGAATACGTTTATCTGCTAAAAAAATATAAAATATGTTTTGAATTGTAATACTAAGATTTTATTTTCAGGATCTTAAACCTCTTAAGCCTTATATCCGATTTTATTTATTCAAAATAGTTGAAGTGATTATTCAAAACCGGTTAAGCATGTTAAATGCTAATGATATATGTGGTATTAAAACAACCGTTCATTTGAATTAGATATTGACATTGATGTTTGCCGAGATTTTTGCCGCATGAAAATGAAAGGCGATAAGCTTCATAAACTAAATGTTTGTTGCAATTGAAACAGACAAGCAAGTAAAGAATGAGAACGTGAAGCTATAATTCTAGGCATGCAGGGCCATGCGTTTTAGAAAATGGGATGTTGGCCATTCTAAGAACAAGCCATTTGGATTGGTTTGACCGTGCAAGTGATTTAGTGGAGGACTTAGTTGACCCTATCCCTGCTTAGATTTTATTGGTTCTCAAAGCTTCAATCCAAAAAAAGATATCATACCCGTTATGATTAATTAAAAAAAAAAAAAAAATCATATTTATAAGATCTTATTCGCTTATGGTTTGTTTGTAATATTTGGAGGTTCATGTCAGCTCATAAAATTCTCCACGCAGACAAAGCCATGTTTATTATTAGGTGGGGGCTGGATCGCTTAGTCATATGACGAGTCTGCGTTTCAGTGTTTTTCTCATTAGCTTTGTTTGCAGCAACAGGTCACGTGACAGAGACACTAATTGGATAATGTCATTCTTTCCACAAAATTGTCAGTTGCTATCGCTAATAAAGGAGTCTGAAACATCACAATTGGTTTTTGACGAATGAGGCAGGTTTCAGGTGCTATTGTCTTTTGGCAAATCAGATCATCACACATCAGGGCCACTTACCTTAGCTTCATTTATTAAGTACTTTTGTTAAGCAAAAAAGTTGAAGTATTGCGTCCAACTTGTATTTTGAGTCAAATCTGAAATTTTATTGTATGATTAGTTTAGAAGAGTTGAGCATAACCTATTTCATTAACTATTGACTCATTTACAGTTTCATAATTTCATTCAACACAATAATTAAGCGTTCATAAGGTAAAAGAAATCTTTGATCCTCATATGTCTATTTTTTTTAACCACGTTACTCAACCCTTTTTGGTACCTTCACATATATCAATTTGAATACAAAAGGCGATGTCAAATGTAATTATTATATTGTTATTCAACATTTTAATTTTCATGATTAATTCGTATTTGAATTAGTTTATGATAAAAAAAGTAGCAAGAGAGCTTTTGAAAAAAACAATTTTTCCCTGAAAATTAATCTAATATTCAAGACATGCTATAAGATTTTCTCTTTGTTGCTTGGAAATTTGGGATGTGTTTGAATGCGTTTTTGTTTTTAAAACAATTTATAAAAGCTGTTTTGGAGAAGAAGAAAAAAGTAAACAAATATGTTTGATTATAATTACTAGAATTTTATTAATGAAATATTGTTCTCCGTGTTTCTGTCACTTTTAAGAGTAAGAGTAGAAAAAGATAACAAAAACATGTAAGAAGTGTTCTCTATTTTTTGTTTTAAAAACTAAAGAACAGATGTTATTTTTAGAATAACAAATATAGAAAACTCATACCAAACAAGTTTTTTAATTTTTCTATTTTTAAAATTAAGAAATTGTTCTGCAGAACAGAAATCAAACAGAGTCTTACATTTGCTGTAAGAATAACTCAAATGAAGGATGAGAATGCAACAAAGCCGAGTTTATCTTCTTCTATTTTTTTTTGAGTTAATACAATCCTAATATCTCTTCGAGGTGAGTTGGTTCTCATCGATATTCTCACAAGCTTTGACTTTTAAGCCAGCTATAAAACTAATTTGGAGTGAGGGGCAGAGATGAAATATTTAAACTTCTCCTAAAGATGATATGTGAGAATCGAACCGAAACTCTTTTATTTTTATTTAATCAGTTCCTTTGTCATCAAAGCCGAGTTTATCTTTGGAATGTAGTCAATGTGCCGTTACTGTAGTTTGGGTTGAGTGGGCATGTTATGGGATAGAGAAACATGCCAAGTTGAATCCATACTCAATTATAGTCCATGTGGCTTGGCTGTTGGGTCCAGAGTCAAACAGTACTGTATCAAGCCCAATCGTTGATTCACTAAATTGAGTTAAAGGTCTCAAAGTATAAGGGAATTAAGCCTAGCCTCAGACCCCAATGAAAGTTGACCCAAAAAAACTCCAAAGGAGCCTGCATAGGCTTTTGTTCTTAAAATACCCAATAAAAACTTTTGAAACGCTATGTTTGATGCATTCTGAGACCGTTATGCTACAAGTGATTGAGTCATGGAGTACTTTTTTGTGTTATTAAATGTGTGATCATCATCATTAAAAAGAAAATGTGTGATTACCAGTAATATATATGGGGTTAAAGATTTTGTGATGAACAGTAACTCATTTGGCGTGTGGTAGCTAAGCAAGTGGAAGTGAAAATATATGTTTAATCCTTTTCATTAACATCTTCAGGAAGGTTTAAAATACTGGATCCGTCCCGAACAGAATTGCCTCATGTGGAGGATACCTGTGATTTATAAAATAAAATAAAAAGATTTTGTGATATGATGAGTAAAATAATACAAAATATATTATAGTATATCATGTATGTTTGTGAGCAATAAAATTAAAAAAATGAAATGATACGAGTTATTGATTTTTTTTTTTTTTCTAGTGGGCAAGATTTTGTAACGTTGATTAAGTGGTATACTATGTAAAGACCTGGTAATGTATATAGTGAACAGATGTTAGATTAGAAATGGGATAGGAGAGACGGTTGCGTGTGTAAATGCCATCATCCGTCGCATTGCAACTTTAAATGCCTTACGAAAGAAACAATATGCCTTACGAAAGCTTTTAGGGTGTGTTTGGTACAGAAATTTTTTGGTGACCGGGAATCATGATTAATGGGAATTCAGTAGAAATTGAGTTTACTTGGAATCTTACGAAAGATGTGTTTGGTTCGCCAAAATATTACCGGAAATATTGGATAAAAATTACTGATTCCATATTTGGTTTAGAACGAAATATGACTTGGAATATGAGGTTATTTTACAAAAATAACCCCAAACTATTTTTACTTTCGTAATTGATAGATTGAGTCTAGATTTTTATGTGTATTGAGATATTTTTGTCTCAAAATTTATTGTTGTGTTTTCCCTTTACTTGGTATTCTGATTGGTATTCCGAATTACCATATTATTTTTGGTAATCTGAATAGTGAATTTTCTTTATAAATCAAATTATCGGTAATCCTTGAATATCTGGGAATCGTAATTTATTCCTTCTACCAAACGTGGTAATTACATTTACCAACCAGTAATTCTCTCCAAAAACTTGAACCAAACACCCCCTTAAAAACTTGTTGATGGCTAAGAGCCTAAGACGCATGAATAACACTGGAATCATAAACTTTCAGAATATAAAACAAACAAAAAAATTCTAGAACATTGTTGTATTGTATCTAGGAAGTAGAAATCCTACCCGGAGTGATATACCAACAACAAAATTAGGTTATTATTATTATTATTATTATTTAATATGAGTTTGTATTTGTCATTTAACATAACACAACAAAGTATCTTACCCACACACAACATTTTGTGAAAAATTACAATACACGAAACGAATTTTTATAATATTACAGAATCAATTTTTTATACAACATAACTCTTATAAATCCTTGTTTAATATGTTTGATGCTAGAATAACGAGAAAGTAAAAGGAAAGTGAGCTTAAAAACCACGCAAAAGCGAATACGGGCATCGAATTCTCAAAATGTGACGTGGCCACCGAACCGCTTCACTATTTTTCTCTCTTGTGGGCTCCACACAACTCACAGATCGGACAACAAAATCCTCGGCGCAGCATCATATGAGTGAGTCATGTAGGGGTCTTGTGGGCCTGACAAAAAAATCCTCTAACCTCACACTAGTTGCACTTCACTACCCCCACTGGTCATTTGGATCTATATATTAACAAAATCCCGCCTCACATTTTTTCTGCAACCTTCTACTGGTATCTGCTTTCTTTTACTCTTCATCCTCCTCCTAGTGTAGTGTAGCACTCATGGGTAATCTCAACCGTTTCATTATTTTCATTATTTTCCTTATGTTCTCATTCCAGTTAGTCCAAGTTGATCTGATTCTCTTTTATTTATTTTTTTGCTTTTGAACTTTAAATGCTTTGGTACTTCAGGCAAGGTGAAGATTGGAATCAATGGTAAATCATCTCATTTCCTTGATCTTTTTTCTTCACTAGCTAGATTTGATCTTTGATTTTTATTTAATTTTTTGGAACTAGTTGGAGCTTTATTTTTAATATTTTTTTTGTAACTCACAGGATTTGGAAGAATTGGGCGTTTGGTGGCCAGAGTGGCTCTGCAGAGGAACGACGTCGAACTCGTTGCAGTTAACGACCCTTTCATTACCACTGATTACATGGTACCAAACTCTTGCATTTTTTTTTTAACTGTTTCATCTGTATTCATGTTTCACAGCCATGCAGAATTTTATTTTTATATTTTGTGTTTGTAAGTGTTGCTAAGCTCTTTGATAGGGTTATGCTTCAGCCTTATCTTTTAGATCTAATTCATTGGGTCTGGTTTGGGCAGACATACATGTTTAAGTACGACAGTGTTCACGGACAGTGGAAACATTTCGATGTAACAATCAAGGACTCAAACACCCTTCTCTTTGGTGACAAGCCAGTCACCATCTTTGCACACAGGTATCTCAATTGTTGTGCATGTAAATATTTAAGAATGCCTTTTTATTAAAGCTTTGGATTATAGTTTTTTCGGGAATTCCTTGTATACTATAAACATGGTGTATTCAAGTTGAAGTGTAGTATTCAAATAAAGTATTCATATATCATTAGTTATAATAGTTAGTATTCAGTGAATGGTAATAGTTACGAGAATTTTTGTGTTTTATTCATTCGTCTGTTGTCTGTACTGTGTGACTCAGAAACCCAGAGGAGATCCCTTGGGCTGAGACTGGAGCTGAAATTATTGTCGAGTCCACTGGAGTTTTCACAGATAAGGAGAAGGCTGCTGCCCATTTGAAGGTTTGTATTTCTGTAGCTACCTTTTTCCTTTGTTGATTTTTCCATTATCTAAGATTGTGTTACTCTATTTTAATTGCTATATATGATTATTAGTATCGTATGGACTGTGTTTCGTTTGCAGCTTATTGCTTAAACTTGCCTGTACTTTTCTGGCTTTCTTGTACTCAGGCATCTCATCTGACCCTATTTTTCAAACGTGGATGTGATGTTCAGTGTGTGTTTACATGATTTGTAGCAAGGCTAATACCGTGTACCACTACTTATTTTTTTGTGCCTTGTGTTTGGTTGCGGGATAATTTGAGCTATTGTTTAAGTTGCTTTTTCCCCACCGGCCACTACCCGCCAGGCCATCTGAAATCTGTGTTTAATCAAGCAGGAAATTTAGTTTTTTAGAATGTAAGTTTGTCTGTGTGGAGTGGCTAACTGCTCCCAAACAGTTACTGGGTGTTATCCCTTTTAACCAAATTTGGGTTGAGATTTAGTCGGCTACAATGTGGAAAGTCATACCATATGGTTTGTCAATGTTGTCTCTATTGGATGTTATCATTGATTGGTTTTATACAGTGTAGTGTGGAATGATAATGTCTTATATTTTGTGTGATACAGGGTGGTGCAAAGAAGGTCATTATTTCGGCCCCCAGCAAAGATGCTCCCATGTTTGTAGTAGGTGTTAATGAGAAAGAATACAAGCCAGAGCTTAATATTATTTCTAATGCTAGCTGCACAACCAACTGCCTTGCTCCACTTGCAAAGGTTCCCAAACTTTACCGATATTTAATCCTCAAATTTTCGTGCTGCTTTGACTGCATGAGGTCTTAACTGTACCTTGTCAATTGTGTAGGTTATTAATGACAGGTTCGGCATTGTTGAGGGCCTGATGACCACCGTTCATTCCATCACTGGTGGGTCTATTGCTAGTTGTTTCCTGTTGCATTTCTTCTCCTATTACATGCTAAATCATTCTTTTCTTGCTGCTTTGCAAATCAGCCACCCAAAAGACTGTTGATGGGCCATCCAGCAAAGACTGGAGAGGTGGAAGAGCTGCTTCATTCAACATCATTCCTAGCAGTACTGGAGCTGCTAAGGTGAATATTTAACACTTTGTGTGGTGTTTTCAGACTGCTTACCACTGACAAGTATTGAATTGTTTACAGTCACCATTCTCTGGATTTCTTTCTCATTGTTCCTATGTGTGTCAAGGCTGTTGGCAAAGTGCTTCCTTCTTTGAATGGAAAACTGACTGGAATGGCATTCCGTGTTCCTACTGTGGATGTCTCTGTTGTTGACCTCACAGTGAGGCTAGAGAAGCCAGCCACCTATGAGCAAATTAAAGCTGCTGTCAAGTAAGGGCAGAATGGATGGATTCTCTTCTTGAAATTATATTCCAGCTGTATTTTATTTGATCTAGAAGTTATCAGGACTTCGATGTTCAAAATTATCATGATATCTGCGAGGAGGATTTTATCATTGCTCCTTCTCGTTAGGCTTGTCTTAACTTAATATTCGTGTCTATCTCAGGGAGGAGTCCGAGGGTAACTTGAAGGGAATCCTTGGTTACACTGAAGATGACGTGGTCTCCACTGACTTTGTTGGCGATAACAGGTATTCATCATTTCAGAGTATTAGAAGTTGTTGATTATAAATGGATGCTACTGATTGTGCCTATCCAATATTTGACTTTCTTGTCTTTTAGATATTAAACAGTAGTCATGTACTCATGTACCCTTATGTCGTCGTCGTAAGGAAAGCACTCGTTTGTGCATTAAATTAAGTCATCATCATTTAATTCATTTTTGTATAAATGTTCCAGGTCAAGTATTTTTGATGCCAAGGCAGGAATTGCTTTGAGTGAAACTTTTGTTAAGCTTGTCGCATGGTATGACAACGAGTGGGGCTACAGGTAATCAGCCGTTGACCTATTTTTTTCATATGATTTCTTGTTGCATGGTAGCTACATCCCTGTTGATTGCAAATCTGAGGTGTGAAATCCAACTGGATACGCAGTTTCTTTATTATTAATTCAGTCATGGTAGCTGCATTGTTATTTATTAATTCAGCTATCTAATCCCTGCTTTATTTGCTGTTATGCTGCAGTACACGCGTGGTTGACCTGATTGTTCACGTTTCTAAGTCTTAAGGTGGTGCTGCAAAGTGGCCTACATGTGTTTGTTTCTTTCCGTGTTGTATTTCTAGCTTCTGTCAGGCTTATTGTCCATGCTCAATTGAGATGTAATAAGTCGGTTTCCCGAACCTGTGGAGTTGCCCTGTGAGGAGGATTGATCTTTTTGGTTCCCTGATGTATGCATGAATGTAGTTTTTCTGAATTTTATGTATTGACTGATAATCGGCTTTGTTAATGTGGGTAACAGACGGTTTTCGTCATTGGTCGCATAAGCGGACAAATGAGCAAATAAAATTGGAAAATCCTTTCAACCTAGACATTATTGGAAAGGAAAAAAGTGTTTATTCTTTTAAATGGCATAATTTATATTCTTTTACTCTCACAAAGAAAGAGGTGGAATTTACATCTTTATTTTTTTTGTGCTCTCTTTCCTCTTTTATCTATCTCTTTCTCTCTTAAAATGACACAACTTCACATTATTTAAAATGACACACTTTTTTCTATTGGAAAATGGTTGTGTTATTGGCAAATAAGACGGCTTTGTCTATTGTTATTATTACTATTATTATTATAATACAGTGTTTATTATTTTATTATTTCCAATAACTTTTTTTGGGCAGTGTGGCATTTCTCTTTATTGAATGATTGATTTTTGAGTAAATACTTTTTTGATTTCTAATAAAAAATATGATTTTTATTTTAATTCCTTACAAAAAAAAATTAGTCTTGAAGTTCCTAACAAATTTAAAGTTGATCCATTTAGTTGAAATCGTGATCCCTTACTAATTCTAAATTTATCCCTAAATAAATTAGGGACGAAATTTGAGAAGGAAAATTTTGTATCCCTAAATAGCTCTTCGCTAATATTTTGGGATAGAACTTTAGTTGCGCCCCTATTAGCAATAAAATAAAATCCGTCCCTACTATGTATTTTCGACCCTAATATTGTCAACGATTTTGATCTATGAAAGGCTATAATCCATCCCTAATAAGGACCGAATTAGAAACAAAAAAATTCTTTCCCTAATAAGGATGAAATTTGCCTCTCCCTAATTTCATCCCTACTCTTAAATTTTCTTAATATATTTAATAAAATATTTTGGATTTTTTGTAACAAAATTAATATATGATAATCGTCATAATATAAATCATCAAAGTCATATAACCAATGAAAACAAGGTCCATATGAAAAAAAAATTAAAAAATTTATCAGGAATATGCAGAAAAAAAATATACTGAATCTATGTTTGGTTGAAGATAAAATATTGACGAGAAACCATTTATTAAATAACCCTTTACAATATTTGAATGAGAGTAACTATTGCCTAATAAAAATTAAATGAAGTTTGCATCTCCGTCTTTGTCTCCTTCTCTCGTTCCAATATAAAACCATCTGGAAAGACACTTTTGCCTCCAAAGCTGCATCAAAATCCTGCCTGATTTTGTTGAGTTCTTGCTTGGAAGCATCTAGTTCACTTACAGTTGCTATGTACTACTTTCTTGCATGCTCTGGTTCTTGTTTCCAAGCTTCATATCCTATAGCTTTTTCAGATAGTGCCTTTTCAAGTTCCTTGGCCTGGTTCTTCACAACTTCAGCGGCTTCCATTGCTGATTGCTTAGACTCTCTCACATTGATGAGCTTCTTTGTCAATTCCTGAAGTGTCACGTTGGCTTTACTAAGCTCAGTAAGAGCTTTATTTTTTGTATTCTCAGCACTTTCCACTGTTTCTTTATCTTGTTTAATTCTGTTTGGGCCAAGAGAAGCTGAGTCTCCTTTTTCAGTACATTCTGCAAATTACACAAAGTTGCTATTTCAGAAAGTGGAGCTCCTCCGTGGATGTACAAAAGTGAATTTGCTGGGGGAGACTCACTTTGGCGCAAGTTACAAGAGGGTAATTTTGAAAGCTATCATGTGAAAAAAATTTCATCTCCCTGATTATTGTGACATACCACTTTGGAAGTGGGATTTGAGCATAGTTCATTTTGTCCAATTTTGCATACAATCTTCAATGGGCAGGGCAAATTAGTTAGTTAGGAAAAAATTTTGATATCCGGTACTAAATATGGATAACACACAATCCCAATCTTAGATGCCTAATTATATTCAAGAAATCTCCTACCAAACACAATCTATTAAGATGAAAAAAAATTCCATTCCTAATACTTGCTTTTGTAGTAATGTACCAAATTATTATGCATGTCACTTTGAAAATTTTATTATTCTCATGACATTTAAGTAAAATTTTTTTAAATTGTTGCAAATGGGAATTCCGAATCAGCTCTAATCTATACATAATATAACTAGGAATCTCATAGAGTGTTTGATTTCCGGATAAGCGAATACGGGGATCGAATTCTCAAAATGTGACGTGGCCTCCGAACCATTTCACTATTTCTCTCTCTCTCTCTCTCTCTCTCTCGGCTCCTCCCAACTCACAGATCGGACAGCAAAATCCTCGGCGCAGCATCATTAGTCATGTACGGGTCTTGTAGGGTAGGGATGACAAAAACAAAACCTCTAACCTCACTACTTGTACGTAACTACCCCAACTGGTGATTTGGGTCTATATATTAACTAAACGTGCCTCACGTATCAAAGAAGTTGATTCAAACGGTACATGTCCACTCGAAATCGGATTAGGATAATGTGGTTTATAAAAAAAATAAAAAAACCTGCCTCACATTTTTTCTACAACCTTCTACTTTTTTTTTGCTTTCTTCTAGTCTTCATTCTCCTAGTGTTATATCAGTCATGGGTAATCACAACCGTTTCATTAATTTCCTTATATTCTCATTCCAATTAGTTCAAGTTGATCTGATTTTATTTTATTCTATTTTTTCCTTTCGAACTTTGCATGCTTTGGTACTTCAGGCAAGGTGAAGATCGGAATCAATGGTATATATATCATCTCATTTCTTGATCTTTTTTCTTCACTGGCTACATTTTATCTTTCATTATTTTATTTTTAATATTGGTTTGTTTACTCACAGGATTTGGCAGAATTGGGCGTTTGGTGGCCAGAGTGGCTCTGCAGAGGAATGACGTCGAACTCGTTGCAGTTAACGACCCTTTCATTACCACTGATTACTTGGTACCAAACTCTTGCCTTTTTTTTTTTAACTGTTTCATCTGTATTCATGTTTCACAACCATGCAGGATTTTATTTTTATTTTTGTGTTTTTAAGTGTTGCTAAGCTCTTTGATAGGGTTATGCTTCAGGCAGGCTTATCTTTTAGATCTGATTCATTGGGTTTGGTTAGGGCAGACATACATGTTTAAGTACGACAGTGTTCACGGACAGTGGAAACATTTCGATGTGACAATCAAGGACTCTAACACCCTTCTCTTTGGTGATAACCCAGTCACCGTCTTTGCACACAGGTATTGTTCATCTTCTACATTGTTGTGCGTGTTAGACTATGATTTATTAGAGAATTACTTGTATAAACATGGTGTATCCAAGTTGTGTGTATATAGTATTCGAATAAAGTATTGATATATCATTAATTATTATAGTTAGTGTTTAATGAATGGTAATAGTTCCAAGAATTTGTGTGTTTTATTCATTTCTTCTGTACTGTGTGACTCAGGAACCCAGAGGAGATCCCTTGGGCTGAGACTGGAGCTGAAATTATTGTTGAGTCCACTGGAGTTTTCACAGATAAGGATAAGGCTGCTGCCCATTTGAAGGTTTGTATTTCCGTAGCTATCTTTTTCCTTTGTTGATTATTCTATTAACTGAGATTAAGTTATTCTATTCTGATTGTTGTATATGATTTATTAGTATTGTGTGGACTGTGTTTCGTTTGCAACTTATTGCTTTAACTTGCCTGTACTTTTCTGGCTTTCTTGTACTCAGGCATCTCATCTGACCCTATTTTTCAAACGTGGATGTGATATCAGGACTGTGTTGTTACTTGTCACTCTGTGTTTACATGATCTGTAGCTAGGCTAATACCGTGTACCACTACTTATTTTTTTGTGCCTTGTGTTTGGTTGCGGGATAATTTGAGCTACTGTTTAAGCTGCTTTCTCCCCACTACCCTCCTTGCCATTTGAACTCTCTGTTAATCTAACAGAAAATTTAGTTTTTTCAGGATGCAAGTTTGTTTGTGTTGAGTGGCTAAGCTTATTGGGTGTTATCCCTTTTAACCAAGTTTAGGTAGAGATCTAGTCGGCTACAGTAGGGAAAGTCATACCAAATAGTCTGTCAATGTTGTTTCTATTGGATGTTTTCGTTGATTGGTTTTATATGGTGTAGTCTGGAATGATAATGTCTTATATTTTCTTTGATACAGGGTGGTGCAAAGAAGGTCATTATTTCAGCTCCCAGTAAAGATGCTCCCATGTTTGTAGTAGGTGTAAATGAGAAGGAATACAAGCCAGAGCTTGATATTATTTCTAATGCTGGCTGCACAACCAACTGCCTTGCTCCACTTGCAAAGGTTCCCAAGCTTACCCATATTTAATCCTCAAATTTTCATGCTGCTCCGACTGCATGAGGTCTTAACTGTACCTTCTCAATTGTGTAGGTTATTATTGACAGGTTTGGCATTGTTGAGGGCCTGATGACCACCGTTCATTCCATCACTGGTGGGTCTATTGCTAGTTGTTTCCTGTTGCATTTCTTCTCCATATTACATGCTAAATCATTCTTTTCTTGCTGCTTTGCAAATCAGCCACCCAAAAGACTGTTGATGGGCCATCCAGCAGGAAAGACTGGAGAGGTGGAAGAGCTGCTTCATTCAACATCATTCCTAGCAATACTGGAACTGCTACGGTGAATATGTGACACCTTATGTGGTTTTTCAGACTGCTAACTACTGTCAAATGTTGAATTGTTTACAGTCACCATTCTCTGGATTTCTTTCTCATTGTTCCTTTGTGTGTCAAGACTGTTGGCAAAGTGCTTCCTTCTTTGAATGGAAAACTGACTGGAATGGCATTCCGTGTTCCTACTGTGAATGTCTCTGTTGTTGACCTCACAGTGAGGCTGGAGAAGCCAGCCACCTATGAGCAAATTAAAGCTGCTGTCAAGTAAGGGCAGAATGGATAGATTCTCTTCTTGAAATTATATTCCAGCTGTATTTTATTTGATCTAGAAGTTATCAGGACTTCGATGTTCAAAATTATCATGATATCTGCGAGGAGGATTTCAGCATTGCTCCTTCTCGTTAGGCTTGTCTTAACTTAATATTCGTGTCTATCTCAGGGAGGAGTCCGAGGGCAACTTGAAGGGAATCCTTGGTTACACTGAGGATGACGTGGTCTCCACTGACTTTGTTGGCGATAACAGGTTTTCATCACACATATCAGAGTATTAGAAGTTGTTGATTATAAATGGCTGCTACTGATTGTGCCTATCCAATATTTGACTTTCTTGTGTTTTAGATATTAAACAGTAGTCATGTACCCTTATGTCGTCATAAGGAAAGCACTCGTTTGTGCGTTAAATTAAGTCATCATCATTTAATTCATTTTTGTATAAATGTTCCAGGTCAAGTATTTTTGATGCCAAGGCAGGAATTGCTTTGAGTGAAACTTTTGTTAAGCTTGTCGCATGGTATGACAACGAGTGGGGTTACAGGTAATCAGCCGTTGACTTTTTATTTCATATGATTTCTTATTGCATGGTAGCTACACTACATCCCTGTAGATTGCAAATTTGAGGTGTGAAATCAAACTAGATGTGCAGTTTCTTTATTATTAATTCAGTCAAGGTCTAATCCTCGCGAAATGGGCAGGGCAGATGCAGTGTTATTTATTAATTAAGCTCTCTAATCCGTGCTTTAATTTTTGTTATGCTGCAGTACACGCGTGGTTGACCTGATTGTTCACATTTCTAAGTCTTAAGGTTGTGCTACAAAGTGGCCTACATATGTTTCTTTCTTACCATGTTTTATATCTAGCTTCAGTCAGGCTTATTGTCCATGCTCAATTGAGATGTAATAAGTCCGGTTTCTCGAACCTGTGGAGTTGCCCTGTGAGGAGCATTGATCTTTTTGGGCCTTTTGACCTTGATAATATAATTTTCAAAATGTTTGCCCTGAATAATTTTTCGGTCAAATTATTTATCTAAATAATGCATAACGACGTGGTAAGCTGGATAATATATTAAGACGTAACAGTGTAGAGATCGCGTCCTGTGCAAAGCTGTTAATCATCTGACTGGAACGCGATACCATCACAGCCGCGTCCCATGCAAACCATTTACAAAGGACGCGGCACTCAAACAATCATGTTTCAGCAAGTCACTTCACATCAACTTACCAAGCAGCTATGCACAGGACGCGATCTCTACTTTGTCATATCTTAATACGTTACATAACCTACCGCGTCGTTATGCATTGTTTAGATAAATAGTGTCAAACATTTTGAAAATTACATTACCAAGGTCAAAAAGCCATCTTTTTGGTTCCCTGATGTATGGATGAATGTAGTTTTTCTGATTTTTAAAATTGGAAAATCCTTTCTACTAAAAACAAAAATAAAATTTTAAAATGTTTGCATCTCAAAAAATAAAAACTTTGGTTTTCGTGCAGAATAACTTTTTTATTTTTGTCAAAGGTATAGTTTTGGGGCAGCGTGGCGTTACTGTTTATTGAATGAATAAAAAGTATAGGGTATGTTTATTGAATTTTGTGTTTTTTTTTAATTTGTTTTGTAGAATAATTAATGAAATGTGTTTTTTGTGTTTTGAAAGTTAAAAATTAAAATACAAAATAAAAAGGAGAAGGTTATAATTACTACCTCTTTTTTTTACTACTTGTTACTACTAAATCGTAACTGTTGATTTTCGCCAATCTAACGGTTATAATTTATTGGAAATTAATAATTAATTAATAAGAATGACCCAATAAATTATAATCGTTAGATTGACGGAAATCAACGGTTACGATTTAGTAGTAACAGGTAGTAAGAAAAAGAGGTAGTAACTATAACCACTCATATATTTTTTAAATTTGATTTTAAAAAGTAAAAATAATTACCATTTTTAAAACTATTTTTATTAAACAGACTTTATTAATTTTTTGCTTGAAAATAAAAAAAATATTTTTAAAAATAGTATTCGAACAGGTTCGTAGACCCAGGGTTTTTTTATTGTGTTTTGATTTATTTATTTTTTTTTTAAATTTTTATGCAGAATAGTTAATGAAATATATATATTTTTCTAAAAAGGTTAAAAATTAAAATATAAAATAAAATAAACTCAGATATATTTTTTAAATTTGATTAAAAAATAGTTTTAAATTTTAAATTTTTTTTTACAAAATAAGCTTTATCGTATAATTTTTTATTTTTTATTTTAAAAACCAAAAAATAATTTTTAAAAACAGTATTCAAACAAATGGTTTATTTGATGATTTTCATGGGAGTCGCTCGAATTGTACTTTCCTCTTATTTTAAAATCGTGCTTTCTTCTTGAGCGTTTTAAGGATGAAATTACATTTGACAGTGGATTAGATTAAATTGTCTGCATGCATTGTTTTGTTTGTCGAGAAATTGTAGTTTCCTTTTATTTTAGAATTGTCTTTTCTCATTACAAAAAAAAAATTGTCCTTTCTTGTTGAGCGTTTTAAGAATGAAATTACATTTGACATCGGATAAGGTTAAATTAATGTTATATGCATATATATATTGTGTGTTATGCAGATACTTCAAAGTTATTCACATTGCACATTTAATTTTTTTTCTTTTTTATTTATGGAACGCTTCAGCCTTTATATTTGTCTGCAGTAAGCGAGGTCAATAATATGGGTTGTTGTCATATAAATTCCGTAGTTAATTTTTGGGACATTTGATATTTTAAAAGAGTTTGAGTTTGATGTATTAGTAATATAAAATACTCGGTACATCATTTACATGTGTTTGGATTATAGTTTTGAAAACTGATTTTTTGTATAGATATATTTATTTAAAAGGTGAAATTGAATATATATTTTTGGTTATATATGTTTCTAATTTAATATTTTTTCAATTTCATTTAAATTATGGTTTGAGTCTTTGAGATTAAAATTCTTAGAAATGTTCAATTAGAATTTTGTTTGTTGATTATAAAATTCAGTTTGTATTTAACTACTGTTTCGGTGGGAAAATCACAATCTAAGCATGTTTAGTAGTGGTTGAGCAAGATGTGTTTCAAAACGCATGATTAAATAACTTTAAAAGCATATCCAAAACTTTTATAATAAAGTATTTCAAATTTGAGTTGAATCACATTTTTATAACTATGCGTATTAAAATTTGAGATTATGCTGACACACGAGTTTTCACGATGTTATGTCATGATCTCTTAACTTTTATTTTCTCTTCTATAGGCCTTTATTTGTATTTAGAGCTATCAAAACACGCCAACTTGGCCTGTTAGGCCCTAGCCCGTGCGGGCCAGGGCCAAAAAGTTCACAGAACCAAAAAGCTCGTTATGATAAAGGACCGCCGGCCCAAAGGCCTAATCCGTGGGCTTTCACAAAATTTGCATTATTTAATAACGGTCAAGGCAATCATCGATCAAGCAACATAACAACACAGATCAAAACATCAAAACCTAAGAGCTAATGAAACACACTCAAATCAGCAAAAAAAAAAAAAAAAAAAAAGTAAGGGTAACTTCGAAGAGTAACCAATCTGGAGAGATGAATAAACAAATTCAGAACAAGGATGACCAGTGACCAACCATTTTGGTTTAGACGGGAGCTGCAACAGTCAATTGAACTTGAATGGGTGACTGTGACTCGAGAATCCTCTGATCCCATCAATTTTACCATAATGGGATTTATCTTGATCTTCTGGTTTTGCGTGAGACGAAAGAAGAGAAGGATCTGCGGAGCGATTTCAATTTGGAGATTTATCTTTAGGAGCTATTGTTGTCATTGGATCGGGCGGTGGTGATTTGTTACTTTTTTTTTTTTTTTTGAAAACTAGATTTGTTTCTTACTTTCTTTTCTTTTCATGTTATTTTTAGCTTGATCCGCGGGCTGGCCCCATCCAACCCAAGGGATGAGAGGGTCATGTGGGGTTAGAGCCAATAACAACCAAACTTTGATAGGGCAAAAAATATATGGGGCTGAAAATGGGGTTGCATGGGCTATCCCATGGGCTGGAGCCCATTTTGACAGGTCTACCTGTATTGATAGAGGACAATTAAGATTAACTACCCGTGTGAAGTTTTAAGCAAATTATAATCGGGTTATGATAACGTAAAAGATTTTCTTACAATAAAGTATGAGTTTAGTGTTTGTTCTTTTAAAGGATATTGAGTTATATCACTTTTAGTGAGAGAAAGACACAGGTAATAAAAATCATGAAAGAGAAATTAGGTTTTTTTTTTTAAAAAAATAATTTTAAATAAAAAATACTAGATTGTGTCTTTCGCTCTCTTAAAATGACACAATTATATATTTTTTAAAGAATTTGTTTTTTTCTAAAGTTACTTTAGATAACTTTATCTAATGTTCATCGAAACGGCGTCGTTTTGAGACGGAAATCATGTTGTTTTTGTAATTTTAATTTATTTAAGGGTTATAATAGTCGTTATCATTCTAATTTTTTAATTTTTCAACCCCAAAACGACGTCGTTTCAATGAACATTAGACAAAGTTGTCTAAAGTAACATCAGAAACTTTTTCCCCTTTTTTTAAAAGACAAAATATTTTTCCCATAAAGCATTTAGAGTTTAGAGTTGATTTAATTTCTCAATTATAAACCTTTTTAACACATTTTAGTGTTCTTTAAAAATTTTGCTGGAGAATGATAAACCTTTAGTTTATCTTGTTTTATAGACTAAAACTATATGCATTATCAAGTTAAATAAGTGAAAACTCGAGTTTATTGGATTAAAAACATGGACTTTGTGAATTATGAATTAAATAATTGATATTTACTTATTTTGAAGGAAATTAATGTTAATTGGAAGCAAATACGACACTTGGAGGGATAGCGATCAGATCCCTGAAGATATAAAGATATCAATTGAAGAAAATAAAGAAAATCAAGTTCTTGAAGAGGAGGCAAACCTCCAATCTGGAGCTTAAGACCCCAAAATTACAAAAACCCATTGCCTAAGAGCGCTTAAGCCCCCAACTCAGTGCTTAAGCGCACCCATCACCACGCTTAAGCACGCTACGTAAATTTGCATGGGAATCTTGAGGAGGCTTAAGCGCCCAACTGCGCGCTTAAGCGCCCAACACAACCCAACTTAGGCCCATTAAAGTATCCACCTAGGACACATATTTTTTGCCCTTAAAAACACAATTTGGGGCAGAATTAGGGATCTTTTTACAATTCTTGACTATTCTTGGTGATTGGAGGCAGAGGGGAAGCAGAGGAAACACCCAGTTCATGTTCGTGAGAGTCGGAGACGGATCGGAATCAAGCTTGCACTGGAATTATTGAAGAATTCACCCTTTTAATATGGAATTTGGGGAAGCTTTTCTATGTTCTTTCTTTCTTGATTTCACCATGTCTGGCTAAGTTTTTATAGTAGTTAGGGTTAGATGGAACTCAATTTATCTTTTATGTCTTGAATAAGACTTTACGTAAATTTTCCTTTTTATCATGAATGAAATTGTTTTTTCTTAATGCTTTCTACGAGCTTGAATCTTGTAGATAGATCTTAGGTAAATGCATGATAATAGGAATGTTGATGCATGATCCACATCTGATAATTTCATCGTAATCTTTATGATTCTAGGAATAGACACAGGGTTTTACGCAATCTTGAGATTCTTGAACGTAATGCTTACTTTCTTGGGGAATAACCGGGGAACTAGGATTCTTGCAAGATTGTAAAGATTTAGGGTGTCAAGGGATTGAATCCTAATTAAATTAAAAGGATCGATTGAATTGATATTAAGGACGATTAATATAAAGAGTGAACTCAGACGTAATAGAGAGGTTAAGGGAAATCGAAGCCCTAACTACGTTTTTTTTTGTCAAGTAATTCAAATCCTTAAATTCTTGTTTTTAATCTTGCTTTTAATTAGTTTGAATATTTTAAATTTCAAACCAATTCTTGATACAAATCCAAAATTGATTGTCCAACTTAAGTCGAAGTAGTGAACTAGTGATTGAATTATAATCCTCGTGGGAAGGATATCTTAATTAATACATTATATTACTTGTACGACCGGTGCACTTGCCGTGAGTCCCAACAGAGACATTTTGAACAGTGTTTTAAAACTCGGACCGGTCATCGACTCAGTCGAGATACTGGGTCAGTGGTTCACCCGGGTTGAACATGATTTCAAAATAATATATAATAAATATTAATAAATACATTGTTCACATAAACAACTCATATTAATTTTGACATTTTCTCAAACAAATTATGTACAAGAAATTTGAATAACAGAATTAGTTTTAAATTAAACAAATCAGCATATCAATTAAACAAATTAGTTTTAAATTCAAAATATTACATCAAGAAGATATGGTAATTAGTAATTTGCTTGAGATTTCATGCAATTATACCCTACATCACGGTCACTGTGCTCCTCCGACGGCGACACCGTGTTATAAACTAAAGGAAGGGTTGCATCAATCACTGTTGTAGCCAAAAAGATAGAAAATAAGATATTTAACTTGATTGAACAATAAGAAATAGTGTGTTTAAAAAGCTAAGGAAGGATGCTTGGAACAAGAAGCCAGTAAGAAAGTTAGGAACAAAGGATTTAGAGATATGTTGGAGAGTATGGACACACCAGAGAAGAAATCAAGTGGTGTCTGTTGAGCATAAAAGCCAATATGAGGAGGGGCCTGCTTGTTACTTGAGATTGCTTCTTTCTCAACAGTCACGTGGGGTGAACAATTTAAGCCATACTCAAGCCATTCTGGCCATTATAACATGCCACTGAATCTGATTTGGCACTGTCATGCTGGTTTGAAGGTTGAGAAGGTTCCACATCGATGAGGAGATGAAAAAGAAATATGTTTATAAACTATTTTAGATGGAATTATATCAACTTGTGTTGCTTCTGTTATGTAAGAAGGTGGGTCTTTTAACAACCGAACAGGTCCCGAATTTTTACAAATCCGGCCGGTCACAACCGGGTCAAAATGGTTGGATTGCATATCACATCTGATGTGTAACTCGAACCGGCCAAGGGACCGGTTCACCTGTTACCGGGTTGACCCGGCCGATTTGAGCGGAGTTTTAAAACACTTATTTTGAATAAAGAAAAATATAAATATAATAAATAAAGTTACTTAAAATATATATATATATATATATATATATATATATATATATATATATTTGTTTATTGTCCTCTTGAAAAGGCTAATTGATAACATCTTTTAAGAATGATGGGCCCAAGACAGAGAATCTGAAAGATGACATCTTGGTCAAAATGTTACTTATATCAAGCAATGTTATCTTTGCCTACCAATCTAAAATATTATTAAATCAGAATCTTAACTAATATTTATTTTTCTTTCTCTTCTTGAGATTCTGATCTAACGATGATGGAGGGTGGTAGGTAGAATAACTTATCCCATGTTATAAAATCTCATTTGGTACTCAACTCGGTCATTGAGATACTGGTTGAATCGGTGATTTACATGTTGAACTGGTTGAGCTATATATATATATATATATATATATATATATATATATATATATATATATATATTTCTGCAGTTACTGCAGATAAGTTATTTGTATTTATTCTCAAAATGACATCGTTTTGGGATTGAAAGATTAAAAAATTGTAATTATAAAGACTATAAGCCTAAAATAAATTAAAATTATAAAGATACCATGATTTCTGCCTCAAAACGAAGTCGTATTGGACTTACTGCAGATAACTTATCTGCAGTGATTGCAGAAAAAGCGAACCCATATATAAAATATATATATATACATATATATATATATATATATATAGGGTAA